TACTCGAACACCACTGGTCGAGTGAGAGCTTATGGCGAACTGTGACCGGAATTCTCTACATCAAGTGGTGTCCGTCAAGGATGTCCACTTTCTCCATTCTTGTTTAATTTTATCATAGACATGCTCCTAGAAACAGCCTTATCCTCGTCTGAATTTTCTGGAGTAGACCTTCTACCAGGTGGCTCGCTTATTGACTTAGAATATGCCGATGACATTGTCCTACTTGGTGAAGATGCTGACAAAATGCAGAGTCTTCTGACTACCCTAAGCAAAAATGCAAGCATGTTCGGGATGCGGTTTTCTCACTCGAAATGCAAAATTTTGCTTCAAGATTGGGTTGCATCGGCACCTGAACTAGTGATAGGGAGTGAAGTAGTCGAGCGTGTAGACCGCTTCACTTATCTTGGGAGTCTCATCAGTGCCGATGGCCTGGTGACTGACGAAATCTCAGCTCGGATACAGAAGGCTCGATTGGCTTTTGCCAACCTGCGTCACTTATGGCGTAGGCGTGATATCCGTCTGCTAACCAAAGGAGGAGCCTACTGAGCATCAGTTTGCTCCGTCCTGCTTTATAGCTGTGAAACATGGCCATTGAGAGTAGAAGATATTCGTAGGTTACTGGTTTTCGATCATAGGTGTCTTCGAAGCATTGCTCGTATACCGTGGGACAACCGAGTAAGCAACGCAGTTGTTAGGGAACGGATTCTCGGTAAGGATCGCAGATCAATCGATGAAGTGGTGAAACTTCATCAGTTGAGGTGGTTGGGACATTTGTTGCGTATGCTTAACCACCGACTTCCTCGTCGAGCTCTGTTTCGCGATGTAGGAGTAGGTTGGAAGAAAGTTAGGGGCGGCCAGACCAAAACATGGCATAAATCCATGAAGTCATTGACTAGTGGACTGAGCCATGTCGGTAATTGTCGACTACCTGGTTGGGGGCCACGAGATGATAATAATCGATGGTTAGAGACCTTGAATAACATGGCTCAAAATCGTTTGCAATGGCGCCGGTGCATTTATTCTTTGTGTTCTCTCAAATCCCAATCTTCTGGATTCTTCAACAACTCTAGTTTCGACTCTCTAAACTTTTCTCACTGAATCATACTTCGTGAATAATATCTTCTAATCCTAACGTCTGTGATTACTTCTAATTCTTTTACTACCTCTACTACTATTGGATTTGAATTGACAATTACTTCTCTGTGCTGATGTGGTATGGCAACATGAACTGATGTACTTACGTACCAAGTTCTACGTTGCATCTGACTGACTGACTGACTGATATGAGTCACGCCAGTTTACAGGCTAGATCAAATTGTCACAAATGCTTTCACAATTACTGTAAAATTTATAGCAGTTAAATTAAATATAAGAGTCAGTTTCTAATAGCGTATTTACACCATGTCACTGACAGAAACAGTATAATACACCCACATTTTCAATAGTAGAGTACAAAGAAGGAAGGTGCACAAAAGGTTCTTTTGGCGATTTGACGAGATCAATAGTGAATTTGTTGGGAAAGGTTAAATGGAACGCGCTTGATACGAGCTGTGATCCAGACAGTCATGTACATAGTGTGCATGTTCCTTAGAGTCACCAAGGATTTCCCACCGTGAATGGGGTTCTGAAAAGGAGAAAAGAGAGAGCAAAAGGCAGCAGAGTGGCACGTGTATATATATAACCAAAGCACTACTTAACCTGTCATGTTGAAGTAGTCAATACAGTAGTAAGTCAAGATAAAATTCATACTGACCACTTAAATCAAAGTAAATTATGGGAATATAAGAATATAACCTACAGATAAAGGAGTACAGCAAAAAGAAGGCCTAATGCCCCATATACCTGCCTATTATTCGAAATTTCATTTGTCACAACCTTGAATATCTTATATGATATAAAATCTTCAAAAGATAATTTGAACTTGGTGGATCTATGGGTCATAGTCTACTGTTTTCAAAACGAAATAAATGAACTGTCTCCGTTACCATATTTTAGACGCTCCAAAAGTACCATAATATGGATCAGATAAATAGGACGAAAACATTGGTAGGCTGTATTGCCTCAGATGCCAGTATCATCTCAAAAGCCATATTATATAATGTCCTCCAAAAAATCTCATTAAACGCAGCTTAGATACATATAATAATAATCTAGCCTGTCGGCAATAACGAGCCTGGTATCATGCAGGACACTAGCAAAAATAATAGCCGTTTTACGAACTGAACTGTTCGATATGGTGGCACTGCGAGTCAACGACGGAAAGACAGCAGCGGCTTATTGAAACTGTCGGCGACAATAAACCTGGAAGGATTTAGTCCAACCAGAAATGTACCAGTAGGGTATTAAGAATGAACAGTGGAGAGGTTGTAGTGGAACACTTCTACGAAGAAAATGCGATTAGTGAAAGATAAACATTTATAATTGTCCTCTTTTTGTTTAACTGTACCAAAAACACTTCTTGCGCGCAACGTTCTTTTCGCGTTGCTGCCATTTTTCATGACGTGCTGCTCTCTATGTAATGCCTATTTTCTCCTTCAATAAAATATTCAGACATGGATTTATTTTTATTTATGTGACGGTATAGTATGGAACATTTGGTGGTGATCATAGTCAATCTCGACTCGGTCACCACTAAAAGGTCTTCATCACTGGACATGCTATGCAAACACATGCCCATTAGCATACTCAAAAGAAACAAAATCACTGTCTAATAATGATAGTAGACACGCACCCGGTCTCATAACATATCGCTGTAATAAGCCTAGCTTGAATAAAAATCCTATGTCTCTATGACTTGGAAATCAGTGACAAATTTGCCCATAACCGGTGCTATTTGTGTCTGAATGCAAACAAAAATAACCAACCGTACTCATCGATGAAATTTCGTTACGCTCCCAATAAAATAGTTATCACCCTATCAACAGTAGAGTCGCTATTCGGTTTAGCTACCTGATGACGCATGGGCATGGTCCTTCAGTAAGTATGTTCTATGTCACAACATTTTATTATTTGTTATTAGCATTATTATTGTCTATCTAATTTGCTTCCTTTACATAAGGATTAGTTTATTTGTGTACGACTCATTGTAAATAAACAGGTTCACAGATAATGACACAAGTCTTCTACAAATGCCGTCTTCGAGGTTCCTTGACATTTCTGTTCCTCCTTATTTAGGGTCACCGACCCACAACTTTGGTTAA